AAGATGCAGGAATCATGCAAATGTTCAAAGTAATGATGCCAAACAGATCCTAAGACAGGTCCTGAGACAGTTATCATTTGTTGACAATAACTGGCCAATCTTACTCCTATCTTTGAGAGGGATACAATTTCCTGCTGCAAGTAAGACAGAGGGGTCTTATGTTCCAGCTCAATTTGTATAGAGCTTTAAATGATGGAACACATCTTAAAGCACTTCAGATAAACTTTTACACAACATTATAGAGGGATCTATTAGATGGGTAATGAGAAGCTTGATCAAATAGGTAGGTTGCAAAGATGATCTTAAAAGGAAACAGCGTCTTAAATGCCAGAATTAAAAAAGAAAAGAGGGCTATACAAGTGGGAGAGGTTTCGAAAGGAAGGTTCTAACGCTGAAAACAAGGCAAAGTGACTTGGACATGCAAAAATAGATTAGAAGGGGAAAACATGTGCAGTAATTTCACATAGTGCCAGGGCTGGGGCAGATTACTGAAAGTGGAAGAAACTGCCATGAAGGTCCATTAATACTCTGGAGATAAGTGAACACAGGTACCTCATGCAACTTAGAATATGGGGCAGAAGAATTTTGGTTGAGTTGAAATTTATGGAAAGTGCAAAATAGAAAGCCTGTCAAGAGGCCATTGGAATAGTCAAATGCATGGATCAAGAGAAAGGCACAGATGAATGCTTCAGCAGCTGAAGTTTGGAAACAGATGATGTTATAGAGACGTAAGTCATCAGACTTAATGATGTTGCAGATGTGAAATAGTGAATTAAGTACAGTGTCAATTAGGAGTTCAAAGCTGAGAAAATAGAGAGGGTAGAGTTTATGGTGAGGACTGAAGTTAATGATTTACCATCAAACAGTTTACTTAGAGGCAAGTGGAATTTATCCAGCAGTAGATCTTGGCGAAATAAACTGACAACATCAAAGTTGTAGAAGATTTGGAAAATATAATGGTGATGTGTAGCTTGGTACCATGGATGCATATATGGAACTGTACATCATTGAATTGGGTCACCAAGAGACAGCATGTAGGTGAGAAATAGAAAGGGAATAAGAAGGTAACAAAAACAGGAAGTGCTGAAATATCTCAGCAGTGATTAGATCTCCTTCCTACACACTTTCAGCACAGTGCATTACAGATTACAATAATATCTTACCAAAAAAACTGCTCCCCAACTACTTGTTGTCATTCACCCATTATTTTCCTTAACCTTTCATAGGACGCAGGCATCATTGACAAGGCCAATATGTGTTGCTGTTGGACTGAGCAACTTGCTAAGCCTTTCAGAGAGCAGTTGAAAGTCCACCAACTGGCTGTTGATCTGGAGGCAGATGTAGGCCAAAGAAAAAATCACATATTGGGTAAGGGTGGTAAACCTCCTTCCATGAAGTTCATGAACAAATTGATGGGTTTTTGTGACAATGAATTATTGTTTCACAGTCATCATTACCAAAACTACATTTCAATTCCTGATTTATCATTTGACTTTAAACTCCATCGCACTATGGTGGGCATTTGAATCCACATCCCAGCATGTTAACCAGGACCTACTAAATTGCTAGGCCAGAGAGATTATGAGTACAGCATCATCCCCCAGTCTTTAAAAGCTTGAAATGTTTGGAGATATCAACTAAATAAAAACAACAAAATAAACAAAGAAGTACAGAGAAACTGTCTATTCTATGCAACAGCAGATGATATTCAGTTCAATTTAAATGCCACATCAAGATTTAAATTTCATTTGGCTGAATATTAATTAATCACAACAAATCATGTGACTCCAGGGAGTTTGTTATTTGCTTTGGTAGAAAGAGCTGAATCTAATGAAGAGAATGATGAGGTATATCACACTGTCAACAAAACTGCAGCTTTAATGCAACTGAGGCTGGAAATGATCATTGACAATAGCAATGAGCAAAAGCTTCATATGTTTTCTTGCCTCTATCAACAATTTGAACCCATTATTTTAAATGATTTAGCAACTTCTTCAGAGTAACCACAAAATATTGAAAGCAAACATTTGATATTGCTGCCTGCAGTCACTTCTGGTTTATTTGTTTATGACAGTTACTTGGCTTGATTTAACATCACTTTAGAGTCATGGACGGAGCATTTTGAGAAATGACAAGTAAGTTGCATCTATCCTCATCCATCCTCCAATTCCCAGATCCACACACCTCACCTGTCTGCTCATTAACATTACAGATTGGTTGTGGCTGTTGGAGATCAGTTAACTCACTCCAGGACATCTCTGCAGAATACTTCAGGGTAGTGTCCTAGGCCCAACCATCTTCAGCTACTTTATCACTGACCCTTCCTCCATCGTAAGGTCAGAAATGGGATGTTTGCAGATGATTGTGCAATGTTTAGCACCATTTGCAACTCCTCAGATACTGAAGCAGTCTCTGTCCAAATGAAGCAGCACCCAGAAATATCCAGGCTTGGGCTGAAAAGTGGTAAGTAACATTTGTGCCATACGAATGCCAGGCAATGACCATCTCCAATATGAAAGAATCTAAAAACTGTCCATTGACATTCAATGGTGTTACCATCACTGAATCCCCACCCCCACCCCCGATCAACTTCCTGGAGGTTACCATTGACCAGAAACTGAACTGGACGATCCATATCATATTGAATGGTAGTGCAGGCTCAAAGGGCCGAATGGCCTATTCTTGCACCTATTTTGTATGCTATGTTTCTATATAACACAGTGGCGACAAGAGCAGCTCAGAGGCTAGGATTCCCACAGTGAGTAACTCACCTCCTGACTCCCCTGAGCCTGTCCTCTATGTACAAGACAGAAGTTAGAAATTTGGTTGGATACTCGCCTGGATGGGTGCGACTCCAACAAAGCTCACGAAGTTTGACGCCATCCAGACCAAAGCAGCCCGCTTGATTGGCACTTCATCCATAAACGTCCACTCCCTCCACCACCGATGTTCAGTAGCGGCAGTGTGTACTACCTACAGGGTGTGCTGCAGAAATTCACCAACATTCCTTAAACAGCACCTTCCAAACTCAGGACCATTACCAAGTAGAAGGACAGGGGCAGCAGATGCATGGAGACACAACCATCTGCAAGTTTCCCTCCAAGCCACTCAGCATCCTGACCCAGGAATATATAAACATTCCTTCAGTATCACTGAGTCAAAGTCTTGGAGTTCACTCCCTAACAGTATTGTTGGTCTATCTGTATGAACTGCAGCTGTTCAAGAGGCAGCTCACCACTACCTCTCAAGTTTAACTCAGAACAGGCAATAAATACTGAGCCAGCCAACAATGCCCATGTCCTACAAGTGAATAAAAAAGGATCTAAAAATCATACGATCTTTGCAGATGTGACCTTCTGCTGGCAGCATCGCTCCAGTAAATCTTACACTTTGAACTGGACAATATCAACATCATGGGGGTTACCATTGGCGAGAAACCAAACTGGAATAGCCATTTAAATGCTGTAGCTACAAGAGCAGTTCAGAGACTCCTTAGACAACAACCTTCCAAATGCACAGCAACTACCATTCAAAATAACAATAGGGCAGTAGATAGATGGGAACATTGAAACATACAAAATTCTGAGGGGTCTTGGCAGGATAGCTGCTAAGAAATTTTTTTCTATTTGTGGGTGAATCTCAAACTAGGGTTCGTAGTTACGGAATAAAGAGATTCTCATTTAAAAGTGAAATGCAAAGGAATTTCTTCCCTCAGATGATAGTGAATGTCTAGAATTTTCTACCCCACAGAATTATGAAGGTTGGATTGCTAAAATGATTTAAAGAGGAGGTAGATAGATTTTTGAAATATCTATGAGTTGAGGGCTATGAGGATCTGGCATGACATGGACCGGGATAAATCAATTACGATCTTTATAGAATGGCAGGGCAGATTCGAGAGACTGAATGCCCTACTCCTGCTTCTATTTCTTATGTTTTTGTTCCATTATCAACTTTCAATATATTATAAACATATACTCACACATCCTACTGTAGCCCCTTTGGATTTTGTTCCTTTATTTCATATTGGCTCAGATCTTCTGGTCTCCAGATCATTGAAGTCCAGTTGAAAGTTGCACATTAGAACCACACAGAAAATATGACCCACTGTCTCCACGGAGATAGCCTGGGTAATTTGAACTTCTAATGGGTAAACCCCCTACCCACTGGGTCCTTATGAAGAAGTCTCCAACTCTGAGTGAGAGTTTGAGAATTTGGATAATTCTGACGTGCTTAATTATATCAGTATCCTGGAAATGATCAACTGAAAAATCCTAGTCTACCTCCTTGGTAACTATACAACTAGCCCCTTATCATCCACATTTACTCATTCTTTTGTGATTCTACCATTTCCTCTTCACAGCTCACGATGCATCCAACTTCATTTTGTCTACACATTTTGAAGTCGTAGACCAAAGACTAGGTCACTAAAAACAAGGGTGTGAAAACCAATCTGTAGAAACTCTACTACAAATCATCCTCCTGTGAAGAACACACCCCATACCACTACAGTCTGCTTCCTGACACATAGTTAATTCCACATTCATGTTTCTACTGTCCTTTTTATTTTGTAATCCTTAATTTCACCCATTGTGTGGCATTCTATCAAATGCCTTCTCAATGTCTATGTACTGTACATCAGCAGCATTACCGTCATTAAATCATCTGCTACCTGAAGATACTTAAACATTTACTAAATCTAGGAGTTTCTCCACCATCAAGGTTAAGCTATAGTTTAACAACCAATAGTTGAAGGCCTAATCTTTTACACCCACTTTAGAATCATAGAATCATAAAATCCCTACAGTGTGGAAGCAAGGCATTTGGCCCATCGAGTTCACACCACCCCTCTGAAGACCATCCCACCCAAGCCCATCCTCCTACCCTATCCGTGTAACCCTGCATTCTCCATGGTCAATTCAACTAGTTTGCATATCCCTGAACACTACGGGCAATTTAGCATGGCCAATCCACCTAACCGCACATCTTTGGACAAGGGAATGGCATTTGCAATTCTCCTGTCCTCTGGCACCACAATGAAGGTAAGAAAGATGGGAAAATTATGGTCAAAATAATTTCTGCTCTCATTTACCTCAGTTTTGGATACATTCCAACCAATTCTGGAGACAGATCCACTTTGTGTACAAACAACCAATCCTGCACCTCCTCCTTATCAATGTGAAACCTTACAGGTGTCTGAATTTCTTCATCTGTCACCATGACCTGGGTAGCATGCTTCCTTGGTAAGGATGGATTCAAAGTATTCAATGAATACCTTAGTTGTGCCATTTGTCTCCACGTGCAAATCCTTCCTTCAGTCTCTAAACAGCCCATAACTCTGTTCATCATCTTTGTACTACTTATTATTATGCAATGACTGAAAACTTTAGAATTCCCCTTTATATTCACTGCTGGTCTCTTCTCATATTGTCTCTTTGTTTCTCTTATACGCTTCTTCACTTCCTCTCTGAACCTTCAGTAGTCAGCCTAATTCTCTACTGCGTTATCCATCGGATATCTTTCTGAAGCACAATGTTTCATCTTCATCATAATTTCTATCTCTTTTGTCATCGACAGGTTCTGGACTTATCCTTCCCATTTCATGGAAATAGACTTTGTCTGGCCAAACTTTCTATTCTCTAAGACAGCTGACTGTGCAGATCTCACTTAGCCTACCATCCTCATATTCCAATTGATTTAGCCAAGACTCATTCTCACCCCAATCAAGTTGGATTTCTCCTCATTAAATATTCTTACTCCAGGTCATTCCTAGTCATTTTCATAACTACCATAATACAATGGTCGTTGTCCCCTAAATGTTTCCTTCCTAACAACTGATCTACTGCCCTCCCCCAACATTCCCAATGCAGTACCTCTATTTTCATTAGATTGGAAAGAAAGGGCACAATCTTCCAACATTTTGTAAAGTATGAGGGCAAACATGCTAGGTAGTGCACTATAATACTAGCCATGCACTAAGAAAAATGACCTACTAGCACCAATCCCTAACAGCTAACCAACAGAGCATAAACACATTTGTTGGCCTGTAACAAGTGTCTCAGATTACCAGAAGCTATTACCCAATGATGCCAGTCAAGGTCTACTCTTCAATGGATCTAGCAGCGAGAAGGTAGGTAATTTTTATACCATTCTTATGGAGTGGGGCTCTTAGGAATAGATTGGGGTCATTAATGACAGAGCAAATCCAGTCACCCTCTTTATGCCAATCTGTGCTGCTGATTGCCTCCAGAGTGGCCCATTTGGAGTGTCCCTGCCCAACCCAAGCATGTTACTCTGGTTTTCCAGTTGGAAAATCAGACACCTTTCTCTTCCACCAAGAAGGCTGGTAACTGGGAAGGTGGCAAATTGAGACCTTTAAATGGTCATTAATTGACACTTAATGACTTTAGTTGCCAATGTGTCAAGAAGGTTACCTGTCAACATTCTCCCAAGAAGTTAATTAGTGAAGTTGTAAGAAGGGGTATCTCTCCAGAACCAACTTATCCAATTATTTCCCCTTCTTGCCATCTCTCTTGCCATCTTCAGTGAAATAACTCTACAGAGTTTGGTATCCCATCACCAACTCACTCTTTATTTACACACTGAGAGCCCTTGACACTGATCCAGCTCCTTCAGAGACAGCTGTCAGAATGAACAGAACCTCTGACATTCCTCTTTAAATCTGTCCAATAGGGCTCTCTGATTGGGCCACATTAACAGCCCCAATCAGGGAACTCATATTCTATGAAGTCCACCTGGCTGACCGTGTTACAATTTGCAGAGGGTAAAATTGGACCCATACTACAATAGAAAATTCTCCTGAAAACATTGTAGAAACCCCTGTCTTGCATACCCTTGCTCGCATTCCAGTCTATATTCCAATAATTACAATGGTTCTCTAATTCTTTCAACTCCTTGAAATTTCTTTGCAAATATGCATATTTCACCACTTTTTGTTCCTTATCTCTAGCCGACTGGATTCTATCCTTGACTCCTCTGAGACATCCACTCTCGCCAACACTGCTATGATATTCTTAATCAATACTGCCACCCCTCCCTCTTTCCTTCCTTTCCACCATATACCTAGGAATATTTAATACCTAGGCTAGAATATATTGAATTAGATTGTCTTTTTCTGATGCCTGTTTTTATATTTTTTGATTTGTATGCTAAGATTCATTCTTTTCCAATTCTGCTTTGATGTTCCATCAGGTGACTGAAAACTTGATACAAGTTGAAATAACTGACAAAGGCAGACTATTAATACTGGAGTGATTGCTAGCACAAACATATCCAAACCCTGTGAGAGGAAGATCTTGAATAGGCAAAGTTCCAGTAACACAGGTAGCAAATATCGTTAATGTTAAGCGACTGGCAGAAAAGATGGTACTAGGAAAACCCAGAGATAGTAGGAACTGCAGATGCTGGAGAATCTGAGATAACAAGATGTAGAGCTGAATGAACACAGCAGGCCAAGCAGCATCAGAGGAGCAGGAAGGCTGACGTTTCAGGCCTAGATCCTTCTTCAGAAAACCCAAATCACTTTCACAATTATCAATTGAGAGGTTTCAAGAAATGTTAACTTTCAATTTAATATAAATGATGCAATCTGCATCCTATTGGAGTTCCAGAATGTTACCCTTCATGATATTGAGACTCATTCCAGAGTTTGCATATAACTTATCCTCTCTGAGTGGTACAACATATCAAACAAAGTCCAAATAAACAGGATGTCAGAAAATTGAAAATTGTGGAGTTTTCTAACCGTGTTTGCTGGGATATTTCCATTGCTGAAAGCAGCAAAAGATGGACCTTTTGTATCATGTTAAGTACAAATGAGCATCTCAAAAACATAACCAGCTCTGCAGAGCAGAGTTCTGCACAGAAAAACAAGCAAATAACTGTTGTACAATTAAAGTGACATTGCACAATATCTAATTAGTTTTAAAGAACAGGTTAAGTTCAGAAGTTGAGGCACTTTTGTGTGATTTTGGGTCACACAAATCTTGTTGATGTCAAACCCCATAAGATGTACCCATTAAACCAATTAGTTCAATGGGTGGATGTAGTACAAGATAATGGTGGGGCTTAAAACTCTGCCTACAATTGACGAAACTTAATGTATAATTAGGAATTATTTTTCAGATTTTCTAAGGGTATATAATGCATCGCCAAACTGTAGCTCCAATACAGAACAACTTAGTCTCCAGTGACTTTGTTGGTCCTACAAGCAATATCTTCACAAGGTGAGTTCAAGTTAGCTTTCATCATTAGAACGTAGCAAAATCCTATTGTGTGGACTGAGGTTTCAGACTAAAGTTATAGTTAATCATTTATATGTGATATTTCTGTGTGAATGCCGAAAAATCCATAACAAATTTTAGTCCATATGTGGGAATTTTTTCATTAAAATGTTGGCAAAGTGACTTGAAATTAAGCCCGTGGTATTTTACCAGATGACCACTCCTGGTACTTTGTGGTATTTTCCACCTCTACCAGTCTGTTTTGAGGCAGTTCACTGCTACCAATTCTCCTTTGTCTTTGCTTTTGTCTTGGGCCTATCTAGTGATTAGTGGTTGAGTTCAGTATCTATAGAAAAGGATCTTCTGAGGTGACAAGTACATTCATGAAATGATATTCAAATGTATGACTACTTTTAATCAGGAAACTTTATAAGGACTTCAGGGAGCTGATACAGATACAACTGGCCCTCCAAAGGCTTTGCTTTCTCATAGTGAGAATCCTCGCAGAGTTAATTCTGCTTTTACATATTCAGGAAAAGACACCACCAGATGATCAACATTTCAGTTCAATAGGGTGAAGCTCACATAGAATAGATAAGATAAGGAATATTGGCTTGGTAAGAGGGAATCTTATGAGCATGATATTGTGAACTTGCATTGTTTCTCCACATTCTTCTCATTTTACTTCCCACAGCTTTTGCGAGCTCGATCTGTTAGATACATCACCATGGAGCATTCCATCTTTTTGATGTTCATTTTGGCTGCTGCCTGCAGAACTTCAGCTAATCTGGTAAGATGTGAGGTTGCAAAAAGTTGATTGGAGCTTGTAGATATCCAGGTTCTTGGTTCATCTTCAAATTTAAGATGTGCACTGACAAATTGCAGAAAAATCAGCAATGGGAAGATGAGGAGATTTTTGTTTTTCTAATGTAGCAATTGTTTAATCAGGAATGCGTTTCCTGAAGCAGAGTCATTAATACTTTTCAAATTGGAATTGGAATATACTTGAAATAGGAACAATTGGAGAATGATGGGGATTAATTGTATGGCCCTTTCAGAGGGCTGATGCAGGAGTAAGGGGTCCTGGCTCAACACTGTAAAGTTTTACTGTTCAATAATTAGCATGGAGATTTCAGTACTATTTCAAACCATCTTTCCAATTTTAAGGGGAAAAGTGGCAATGTGGATTGAAGCCAGGCAACTTTCATCAGTCCTGATGAAGGGTGTAAACCCAAAATGTCAACTTTCCTCTTCCTCTGATGCTGCCTGTTTTGCTATGTTCCTCCAGCTCAACACTGTATTGACTCTGACTCCAGTCTCCCTTTTATTTCTGCTCAATCGATTATGTAATCATTTTACCCTAATTACCTGCTGAACTACTTGCTTTATTAACAAAAAGATTTTCTTCCTGTCGCTCAAAATGTGCAACTTTAGTGCAAACCTACACTTTAAAAACTATCTCTTTTAATAAATGAATAAATAGATGGCAAACAAATTACCAACTGCTATCCAACATAAAGCAGGAAAGTATCTATTTAAATTGGTCTTTGATCTACGCAAATGGTGAGTGAGACAATTGTAACTGGATGGTTCTCTGTTTTAAGCCTGACACAATGGAAAGCAATTCTAGATTAGTTAGCCAACCACTCTGTGCCAATTGCAGCATTCAGAGTCTTTAATTTATCAAGGGACCTCAATTGTCCACTCAACTGGTTTTATGTGAGAAAAGAACTTTTGTGAGACCAAATTAGTAGAATTGATTTTTGTTCTTTGGATAGAATTGTTTCCCTGTTTTTTATTGTATTTTCCATCTCTACCAGTATGTAGTAAGGGGTATGTTTTGAGATAGTTCACTGCCACCAATTCTCCTTTGTCTTTGCTTTATCTTGGGCCTATCTAGTGAATAGTGGTTGAGTTAAGTATCTACAGAAAAGGAACTGTTCTGAGATAACAGGAATTACGTTGATTGTGAATCACTTTTCCATCAGGTATTCCAGGAAACCAATCAATTAATGGGAGAGAAAGTTGAAAAAAAAGTGCCAAAACCAGCAGATCTCGGACTAGAGGAACTTAGTTCTCTTCCAGAGCAGAAGGATTGGCGCGACGATAACTATGTTACACCCGTGAAAAATCAGGTGCTTACTAATTTTCATCATGTCATTTGTAACTTCACTGTGCAAACAGTCGATTCAATGAATTTAAATCCTACTAACTGATATTAAAATAAAACAGAATCAACCTGCTTACCCAGTGGTGCCATCCTTTTGGATATGATTTTTGTTGCTAGGAATAAATGCAACTACTAACATTGTCTTCCTCTCTCCAGGAAATGCTGCCAATCTCAGAGTAGCCTCCAATAAGTGGAAGTAGTCAATCATTTCGTATGAAATCTAATTTCTGCTCTTTCAAATTTATTTCTTTGGTGGGTGTTAGGGCCAGATTGGGAGGTCTGTTTAGCTCAGTTGGCTAGACAGTTGGTTTGCAAAGCAATATGATACCAAAAGTGTGGATTCAATTCCCATCGCCAGCTGAGGTTACCATAAAGGACTCTCCTTCTCAACCTCTCCCATCTCTCCTTAGCTGAGGTATGGTAGTCCTCAGGTTAAATCACCACCATTTGTCTCTTAACGAGAGTGCAGCCCTAGAGTCCGCTAAGACAATGGTGACTTGACACCCAGAGGGCCAAATATGATCCTATCATTTTCTAAAGTGTGTGCTAACACTGGCCGAGAATCTGACTGATTTTTCTCCCTTCCATTATGTCCTATTTCCGTGCTGGTTAGCTCTGTACAGCCGAAGCATATTAGAAGATTTTAATCTGTGTGGTCAAATGTTTTAAGTCAGCAGTGTATTTGCTACTCAGCCATTGAAAGCGGAATATTGAATAAACATCATGGGCATGTCCTTTGGTTTCCCGTAATGATTCAATTGCAGAATGAATTGTCCATGCTTTGACAGCTTCTCTTTGTTCCATGATTTCTTTTGCCAACAAGGAAGGAAATTCCGAATAGTATGGGAAATCAACCACATCCCAATAGTACACCATCCTGACTTAAACTGCCATTTCTTCCTCACCACTGGTTAAAACTTGAAGAATATCCTACTTAACATCGCCAGCAGCTATACCATAACCAATAGGACACCAACAGGTCAAGTAAATCCACAGAAACCTCCCAAGGGCATGTAGGAATGAGCAATCAATAAATTCATCTTTGGTAACATCATTGTGTCATGATTATATTAATATTCATAAAATTATGTGATGGGAGAATTGTTGTAGGAAATAAGTATAACAATGATAAAATATTCATACTACATTCAAGACTTCTAATTGAGAAATGCAGGCAAGGAGAATAGCCCAGAATTAAGCAATTTGAGAAACAGACTGTACAGAATTGCTTCCTAACAGTCAGTTACCTAAATAATGACATCCGCATATAGGAAATCTGTATTTCATATGCTCATACTATTAGATTTCTCTGGAAGTGATGAATGATCAAGAGGAAGAGTTTTGTCATAATGGTGTCTGTGTTATGCTCAGGGCCAGTGCGCAGCATGCTGGGCCTTTACTGCAGTGGCAGCGATGGAAGCACAACTGAGAAATAAGACCAACACTCTCTACACACTCAGTGAGCAAAACATTGTGGACTGTGCCAGAAGCTACAACAATGAAGGCTGCAGTGCAGGATGGGTGAATCGTGCATTTGAATACATGCGTGACCATGGAATTGAAACTAACGCAACATACCTCTACAAAGAACGGGTACATTTATTGCTTTAATATTCTCATTTTCACACAATGATTTTTCATGTTCGGGTCAGAAACAGTTTAAAGTTCAACCTTCATTTTACACTTACAGGAAGTGACCACATCTTTATGCAAAGTGCATGTTTTACATTCTAAAATAAATAGTTGGAATGCTCTTGGTGATAACTTGCATCAGTGCAGTGAATTTCTCATTATTCTTCCTCAAAGCGTCCCTTCTTGACTCTGAACTATAATGTATTTCATTAATACTTATTTATTGTTTACAGCTCTTTATATTTTTCTCTTGGAAAGTAGTGGAAGTAAGTGTGGGAGTGGGGTTGAGGATAGAATTGAGGGTAACAGTGGACTAAAGCCCATCAGTTGCAAGAATCCTAATGAATGTCAACCCAGAAACAGATCACCACACTTTGGAGTTGACTTACGTGAGGTCTCTTTCAAACATAGGAAGTTGCTTCTACTAATACAATGGGCCAATAGGACAATTCTCACTGCTCAGCTGGCCTTTCTTCACTGCAGAAACCCTGACGCCTGATATTGGAGAACATTAGCATCCAAACTTAACACTGCTAATGTTGGAATGTAGAATGGCCTGCTTCCACATTGTAGGGATTCTATGATTCTACGAGGACTGTTCTCCCTGCTTACAGGGTGTAGAGAGGGTTAAGGTGGGGGACGATTGTTGAGACCAATTGCAGTGTTTCCTCAACTACTCCTTTTGAGACCAGCTAATTTGAGAAACAGTCAGGAATACTTGGTCCTTCCTGGGCCACATGCCTGAGCCACTGACTGAGAATTAGATTGAATTGAATCCTGAATTGGCTGATGCAATCAATTCTAGATTTTTAGAAACTAGTAAAGAATTCAGTAACAAAATTCTGGGAATAATGACCTTACTGCTTTGATTTTAAAAAATGCTATTTTTTCTTCCAATTTCAGAAACAAGATTGCTTATTTGATGAAAACAATTCTGTTGGAAAACTCATCAATTACGTCAAGATTAAGAACACAAACGAAACAGAAATCATGAAGATAGTAGCAAAACATGGACCAGTATCTGTACATGTTTACATGAGTGATGCATTCTTGAGTTATAATGATGACAGTAAGCTAATTACCACTCACCTCTTCAATCTCTCTCTATTTCAGATTCTATCATGCAATTTCCTATACTGTGCATACATTTAACAGACTCCACTCAAACTATACAAATAATTTCATATAAATTGAGGCAATACTGTGACCACACCTTTTGTATATTGCACTAAAACATATGAAGACGTTGATTGAAACTCCCTCTTCGCTGTCCCTTCAGAAACATGCATGTATCGTGTTTAACACTAAAGGTTAAAAGTTGGTTGGACTGAGTCCAGGCCTACACTCTTCTGCTTGGAGTTCATTACAACTTACAGATCACAACACTTCAACAACACTGATTACTCATTTCCCATAGTTATATACAGATAAATATTTAACCATCCAGTCAAGTGGTGGCCCAATTATCCCTTAATTAACTTATAACTATCACATATTACCTAATTCCATTTGGTCTCAGGCAAAATTGCTAGACCTCATCAAACAATAATAAAATGGAAAAAGTTTAAAGCTTGCTGGTACACAAATGTGGTTTTTAATGTAAAGGTAAATTTTAAAAACTCAAGTAAATTACAACACGACAAATTTTAAACTAAATGAATGTACCATTTGAAAGCACTTCAATGAAAATGTACTTTGGTCAACGCAATCACCCTTTTATAGCTGAAATTTGTCCTTGAAATAACGTGCTCACATTGGTGCTGTTTTGCAGGTATTTTTGATGATCCTAATTACAATAATGAGATTCCTGACCATGCTGTGACTATAGTGGGTTATGTGAATAATGATAAAGAAAGATATTGGATTATTAAAAACAGGTAAGTGCTACGGATTGTGGAATAGGAGTCAAATAAGTGGAGAATCCTCGAGATTTTAAGTGTTGAAGGACACACAATCTTACTAGCTTGGTCATAACACAAACCTAAACAATTTGGGCTTCTATCTTTTTGAAAAAAACTAACTTGGAACAGTGCCTTTACTATAGGAAACATTCCACGTGTTTCAAAGAATGGATAACAAACTGTTAAAATGTTAGACAGGCACAGGAAACAGTTGACCGAAAGTATGGTTGCAGACTTGAAGAATCATACAATCATAGAATCCCTACAGTGCAGATAAAGGCCATTCAGCCCATCAAGTCTGCATACACCCTCCAAAGAATACCCCATCCAGACCCACACCTCATCCCCATAATTGCACATTTCCCGTAGCTAATCCACCAAGCTTGCACATCCTCGGTCACTGTCAGTAATTTCCCATGGCCAATCCACCTCACCTGCATATCTTTGGACTGTGGGAGGAGCACCCAGCAGAAACCCACACAAACACAGGGAGAATGTGCAAACTCCACACAGACAGTGGCCAAAGATTGGAATTGAACCTGGCTTCCTGGTGCTTGAGGAAAATCAAGTCATAAAGGTTAAAGGGGAGACATTGAAAACATGGGATAAGAAATTATAGCTGTCATAAACAGAAGCAAGGGTGTGATGCATAGGAGACATGAACCAGATGGACAGAGAGTATGATGTGGGATCTGAAATGGAGAGAAGTGTCCAGGTATATCTGGATTTAAATTCGACCAACTTTAGAAAGTATAGGTATTAGTGTTCCTAAAACAAAACTGTACAGGGATTTTTACCTTCTTTGCTTTGGGTATGACAAAACCTTTATTGTGTTTTAACAAATATTCTTTCATTTTTAGTTTTGGAACCAGCTGGGGTCACGGTGGCTACATGAAGATGATTATGTTCAAGAATTTGTTGAGAGTAACCGAACGAGTCTTCTATCCTATCGTCTAAAAATGTGTGCCTCAAAAGGATAAAGTCAACTTGTTGGAGAAGCAGTTTCTGGAAAACTCTTAGATTTAACTGTTTTGAGCATATTGCTTCTAGGGGTTGCGGGATAAATCTTTTCTGTAGCTAAGTATAATCTCCTGGTGACTGTGTACATTAAATTTGAAAAGCAGTAAAATTAATGAGTTAACCTTTACAACTTGGTTCATTTCTGTAATTGGCAGGATTTCATCAGGCCCTCAGGAGCAGTGTGGGAGAGAGGAGAGACTGTGGAATCAGGAAGGGGGTGTTTTGGACTGTAATATTTATGTTGAGAGGTTGGCTCTGTATTCTACCAGTGGTAGTAAACCTCCAACACAGTATTAACTCCACAACACGATGGAAAATTAATTGTGCTTGTTCACTGAATGCTTTAGATTAATTTTCTGAATTTGTGTGCTCAGTTTGGGATATAACACATAATGCTTGGGGATCATAGATCCTAGATCCCTGGCTGCTTAAATTTTGCAACAGCAATACCAGGCTTTGGTTCTGCCCTATAGAAATCAGACATACCAGGATAAAGGATTGCTTCCACAATATAAAAGACTGGAGTTACATGGAAAGATTGAGGAAGCTGGGAATGTTCCCCTTGAAGAATAAAAGGTTAGGAAGTTGAAAGGTATTCATAATAGTGAGGAGTCTAAGCAGAGTAGACAGTGAGAAACTGTTCCTGTCGGCAGATAGATTGAGAACAAGAGAGCACAAATTTAAAGTGATTTACAAAGGAGACAACAGAAACATAAGGGAAATGAATCATCAGACGCCATTTCCACCATCTCCAGCAAGATGCCACCACCAGACACATATTCCTCTCCCCTCCCTTGTCCGCCTTCCACAGGGACTGTTCCCTCCAGGACACCCTGGTCCACACTTCCTTCACCCCCAACACCTCCCCACAGCCCTACAGCACCTTTCCCTGTAACCGGTGAAGATGCAACATCTGCCCATTTACCTCCTCCCTCCCCAGTATCCAAGGGCCCAAACATACTTTCCAGGTGAAGCAACACTTCACCTGCACTTCCCAGAATCTAGTCTACTGCATTCGCTGCTCACAATGTGGTCTCCTCTACATTGGGGAAAGGAAGGGTAGACTTGGCGATCGCTTCGCAGAACATCTACATTCTGCTCGCAAAAAATACCCTGAACTACCTGTTGCCTGCCACTTTAAAGCACCACCTTGATCCCTGGCCAACATCTCTGTCTCTGGCTTGCTGCAGTGTTCCAGTGAAGCCCAACGCAAGCTGGAGGAACAACACCTCATTTTCCGCTTGGGGTCGCTACAGCCCTCTGGATTCAATATTAAGTTCAATAATTTTAGGGCCTAAACTCTCCCATGTCCCAGACTCCACCCAACTCACCAGGCCTTGTTACCACATAGCCTGCCAGTACACACCCCCTGCTGTTAGTCACTAACAGTCCCCATTAACAACTATTCACCCTCCCAGCCTGATCATTAGCAACTCCTTTGTCTGTCCAACTGTATTTCTCTCTCTTTGGGCTCTATCCTATCATTTACTCCCTACCCCATCCACTTCCCTATTTTCGGGATACAAACTGACGTTTTCCCAGCCACCACCAGTTCTGAGAAAGGGTCGCCGGACCCGAAATGTTAACTCTGTTTTCTCCTTCACAGATGTTGCCAGACTTGCTGAGCTTTTCCAGCAACTTTGTTTTTGTTCCCTTGCAGTGTAGTGGTTGTAACAGGGCCATGGTTGGGCCATGAGTGGCTGATCTTGAAAGAACCCAATGTCACCTCCTTCAGCACCCTGAGATGCAGACCACCAGGTCCTGGGGATTAATTCACTACAGCCCCATTAATTTCTCCTGTACAATTTTCATACTAATGTTAATTTCCTTCAAATCCTCATTCTTCCTAGCCTCTTAGATCTCTAGATTTAGCAGATTTCTTACACTTCCTGAGGGAGCATTGGAAGCAGACTTAATTGTGGCTTTCAAAAGGGAATTGGACAGATCAATTGAAATGACCCCTTCCCATGCTGTAGTCAGTTTATGATTGATTCTAGGTCAAAGAGAGGGACAAGCAGGCCATTAGCAGACGACAGCGGTAGAGCTCGAACAGGGGCTCTTTCAGATGCTTGTTGAGCTTACGGGCGCGATGGAAGCAGATTATGATGGTGGACTGAGCAAGTGACGCAAAGGGGAGCTACAAAAACAGGGTCACAAGTTTAATCCAAAGGCAATGCTTGAAAGGGGGAGAGACCAATGGTCATGGGATTTATTCACCCAGTCTTAATGAACCCCAAGGCAGAGAAGGAGCATTGCAAAGAGATGGTGCATTAGGCACCAGACGAATCACTGCAGCATCAGTAGTCGTCCCAATTGCAAGGCAACGTTGAATGCTGCTTTGGTACATCTTTAAGAGTAGTACCATCATCTGTCTTTGCATTGGGTTCCTTCAAGATCAGCGACTCATGGCCCAGTTACAACCAGTCCCTCAGAAAGATTCCCCCAATTTATTTCAGTTCCACATGGGATTGCCCCTAAATTGTCAAGCCCAATGTGAAGACGGATGGACTTGCTCACTTTTAACTATTTATCCGTTCCCTTGATTGGTCATATCAAGATTAATTAAAGAAAGATACCATCCCTTCTGGACGTCTTTCTCCCACACTAATTGAGCGAGTTTAGTAATTACGAAACACAAGAAGCAATAATAATGCAAAGCATATACATACATATCAGAGATAAGAAATGAGGTCAAAAAGGATAAAACGCTTAAAAAGATATATGGATCAGTCTCTGAGTTCTGTAGTGAATAGGCAATGCGACATTACAGCCATTACAATGGGTGATACTAGTTGCACTGATGTTGATAGGCAAGAGTTTGATTTTGAGATGCTTAACTTTGCAAGTCAGCTGAAAGGCATTTGTCTTGTTTCCTTTGGATTGTGATTTCACTTATTTTCTGCCTTCAGAAAGAGGGATTAACTTACCTCCTTATCACATATCACATATAATATTTCAGCGTTTTCTCAGCTGTATCCATGGGCTAAATCTCCCTTTGTTCTTCCTCCAAGAACTGGTCTATTCAAAGTGATCATTTCTGAATTATAACACCTTTTGATCATGTTTGCTCTTTGATGTATCAAACAGCTATAAACCATTAACTAGGAAAGGTTAAGCTGTTGAAGACATTCATCAATCATGATTAACCTTGGTTATGTGGGACCTCCAAGTCACAGCAAGCAACACTTTTGAGTTTGATACTTGGAATCTAGGAATCACACAAGAAAAATACACAACGTACTGATTTCAGATCAACCTCAGATTTGTTACGATATTGAAATTGCAAAATTCACTGCTATGTACAAATCCTCCTGTGACATGTCCAGAATTTTACACAAAACTCCCATACAGGTTTGTTTGAAACTTACACCAATTTCCACAATGCAAACCCATGCAGCTTAAAAACTAACCCCCCAACCCCCGTATAAACCACTCTAGAATTTGACTGAAACCCAATTAGGGCAGCACAGTGGCACAATGGCTAGCACTGCTGCCTCAAGCACCAAGGACCTGGATTTGTTTCCAGCCTTGGGTGACTGCCTGTGTGGAGTTTGCATATTCTTCCTGTGTCTGCATGGGTTTCCACCGGGTGCTCCGGTTTCCTCCCACAGTCCAAAGATGTGCAGGTTGGGTAGATTGGCTATGCTAAGTCACCCTGCACTGTACAGGTCAGGTAGATTAGCCATGGTAAATGCATGCTTAGGGGGAATGGGGTTGGGGTAGATCTGGATGGGATGCTTTATGGAGGTTTGGGCCAAATGGCCTCTTTCTGCACTGTAGGGATTCTATGATGATCAATCACATGACTGGTTAGTACCAGTATTGATTACAGACCTGGCTCTAGAGAAGTCAAGCCTGGATGTCTTTAATAATGTTCCCATAGCAGAAAACAACACAATTCTTTACAAACGTGACAGTTCTGAGAGCCCCAGGTCAATGGATGTATGAATGTTTCTTCTATACCATTGTTTGCAATAATGCCTTTAGTGTTTAATGAGCTAGAGTTTGGCTGTCTCAGTCTTCTGCAAGGTTACAATGAACCTTGTATCATTCCTATGCAGCTCATTTGTGTTGTGTTGAGGATTTTATATTCACATTTTGCAGTTGAATGTCATGCCGAGGGTTCATTTTCTTTACATCCTATAATTTTACAGTCCTGGGGACAGCAAGTCCTTCATATGCCATTCTCTCAAACAAAGTAGACAATAACAGTCAGATTATTTCTATTTTTATTTTGCTGATTATGAGAAGCACCACTGAAACAAAACAGCACCACAACAAAATAAACACTAATCATTGCAAATAAAGTTTTCAAAATGCATTTAGAGACAAGTCTGGCTCCCTCTAGAGTAAATAGTCTTAATTACATGTTTGCTCAAGAAATGCTGTAGGCAGCTCCGTTACAATGATTCATATAAAATAGTTGCTAAATACAGGACATTATCTAAAATAATTTGAGTGATTTTGTTTTTGTTGCAGAAGTCAAAAGTCTTCAGATTGTGGGATAGGAAGCACAATATTTAATTCCACACATGTTTTTGTCTTTAATCATGCGCATGTATCCTTCCTCACCCCAGGATTTTCCCCAGCTAGAAAAGCAAAAATATTTGTTAATATCCACAACCCAATCTAATCATATCCAAAATTAATACAGTGAGGATTTTTGTATGTTTGGTTCTGTAATATTTTAAATTTCTTAGTTTTAATTCAGGTAGTGTTATCAGCAGGACATCAGGTTCATTCTATAAAGAATTTACTTCTGGAGATTTACAATTTCATCTAGAAAAATTATTAGGATAATTAGAAGAGCCAATACATAGAATCAGTGTGTGGAAGCAAGCAAGCAATTTGGCCCGTTGAGTTCACACTGACCCCCAAAGAGCATCTCACCCAGACCCAACCCTTGGCCCTCTCCCTTGAACTAGGCATTTCCCAAAGCTAACTCACCTAACCTGCACATCTTTGGACAGTGGGAGGAAACTGGAGCACCTGAAGTGAACCCATACACATGCGGGGAGAACATGCAAACTTCACACAGACAGTCACCCGAGGGTGGAATCAAACCTGGGTCCCTGGCGCTATGAGGCAGCAGCGTTAACCACAGCCATAGCGCTGCCCCTAAAAACTCATCACATGGTCCACCAGCTCTTAGTGGGATTTGAGTGTATGCCCAAAGATCATTAGCCTGGAGGCCTGGTTTACTAGAGCAGAAACATTCCCACTGTGCCGCAGTGTCCCTTGTATGTTGTTACACAAAAGGTCAGTTTTGACTGAATGAGGATTTAAGTGTAACCCATAGCAGTTTGTAATTATCATGCAAGGATGGATGTCAAAGTGTACAGTAGAAGATCTGAAATGCAGATTGTTTTATTAATGCATTCACAGGATGCAGATGTCACTGACTAGGCCAGCATTTATTACTAATTCCCAGTTGCCCAGAAGGCAGTTGAGTCAACCACACTGCTGGGCATCTGGATTCATAATGTAGGCCAGACCAGGTAAGGACAGCAGTTTCCTTCTTTAGGGGACATTAGTGAACCAGATGGTATTTTCACCCAATCAGTTTCATGATCATTAGACTTTTATTTCCAGATTTTATTGAATTCAAATCCCAACATCTGCCAATGAGATTTAAACCTGGGTTCCTAGAATGCTGTCTGGGTCTCTGGATTAATAGTCTAGCAAAAATACCACAAGGCCATCATCTGCCTTTCAGGATCTGTGAAGAGAGATAATACGTTCAGAAAAGGTGGAAACAATTGACAGCTGGGCAGAGCAAATCTCAGGACACAAAGGAAAGGATCAAAAATCAGCTTTGGTCTCATCTTTTCTGGGAGAAATTGATTTGAGGCAGGGAAACAAGAGTTTCACTTACTACTCTGAAAATGAGGCCAAGTGACTCCAGATAAAGGAATAAACTTTTACAATTACTCTCACAAGTTATAAGTGCCAGGCAGTTGAGAGACTGCTATATAATGACAATTCACACCCAGTGGGGCAGGTTTAGCTATCCCACATTTATCCACAAGGTGGCAATTGGAAATAAATGAATGACTTTGGAAAAATTGCATTGTGTTCAATTATTTCTTTGATATAATTAGCTTTACTTAAATGCTCATAAGTGCTTTAGGAGGTCCCATTTAAGTGTCTGCTCCTTAGTGCTTTACTTTTTCATTTGTTAAGTTATTTCCATGCCAGCATCACTTTGTATAATTCATAGAGTAACAAAGGTTTCCATTCTGCCTGATATTCTTAATTTGTAGATGTTATTACCTGTTTTTAATGATCCAGTAGCCTCTTGAAGATACATCCACATATCCTATCAAGAGCACTGCATGATCAACTCTCTTACTATTGCAGTCAACATCATCAAAGATACCTGTAAAATGGAGGGAAGCTGAAATAACTACACAGAGGCCTGTATCCTGTCACCAAGTCACTCTTTACTTACTTGTGCAAAGTATACTGGCTGCGGCCAGCCAGCTTGGAGTCAGTCCTCTGAACTGAGAAGCTTGTAAATCTCCTGGTTATATTGGTCAGCCAGGGTCTCCTGATTGGCCCAGGTTAACAACCCCCATCAAGGACCTCATAGTCAATAAGGTCCCACCTGGTTTCAATTACTACAGAAGTAGTATAGATGAAAACAATTCTGAACTGTAGTTCTGCCTTCCCAATCTTGAACAAGATTGGAAAGGCAGACCTACAAGATTTTGCATTCTTATAGCATCTTTCGCCAAGCAACTTGTCTCAGGACCAATAAACTGAAAGCAGTTAGGGAAGGTAACTAGCCTAGTCAAAAGAGAAAATTCAATTGAAAACAAAACTTCAAAAGACAGAAGTAGCAAAGTGAAAGTATTCAGGAATTCAATTACAAAGCCGTTTTGTCTACAAATTGTCCCTGAAGGTGAAGCAATATCCCTTTGTTCCCAGTCTGTTGATATCATGCACAGTGAGATTGAGAGGTAGATTCTGAACCATGGTGAATTTTGTTTAACAAAATAAGCAGAAATTGCTGGAGAAACTCAGCAGGTTTAGCAACATCTATGGACAGAGAAACAGAGTTAATGTTTCAGCTCTTCTTCAGTTCTGAAGAAGAGTCACTGAACTCGAAACTTTAACTCTGCGTTCTCTCCACAGATGCTGTCAGACCTGCTGAGGTTCTCCAGCAAGTTTTGTTTTTGTTTCAGATTTTCAGCATCCACAGTTCTTTGTTCTACTTTAGAATTTTCTTTACCTGACTTGTAAAATCTCCAGGAACTAAGTGATGAATAAACAAGTACAGAAACTGGTCCAACACGTGCCACTAATGCAGCTAATTTTTTCTCATCAATGTTCATTATCCTTTTGAATCCTTTAATTGTGGTGACACTCTTAAAGTTACTAAAAAAGCACCGATCATTTTGCTGTAATTAGAAAGAGAGTCTGTTTAGCAAATTGGCGGACAATAATTTTCATAAATGTCAACGTCCTATCACACACAAAATCCCATGCATCTATCAGCCCCCTGCCTTACTGCTCTCCATTACCTCTGAGCATGTCCTACATCACTTGGTGCTGGTGTATCCCTGTCCCCTTTCCATCCAGTTTTCAATGACATACTCATTTGGACCCAACCCCTCTGCTTTCACTTTCTAAACCTCTTTACTTTGCTTCATTCCTCCAACTTCAAAAGCTACATTAAGACCCACCTTTTCAACAGTTTATCTCATCCAAATCTCGAATCACACTCTGGTTAAGATGTGACTCTGACCTGCTGAACGGTTCAAAATGCTTATTCATTGAGCATCTTTGTGGTACAAGACAGAAAGCCACAGGATAACTTTTATTTCTTTATTTCTCTTTACTTCTATCCAGAAGTGTTATCACACATAACTGAGCGACCTTCCCACCACCAAAATTGCCGTGACTTTTTTTTTCACTAACAGGCTAATTTCTACTCTTCATTGAGTTAATTAATCTCAGCTAGGGTGGTACCTGAAGGTGCTGAAGATGCCCAGTCTGCAGAAAGTAGAAATTTAGTCAAGTGCTTCCACCCCTAGTCATTATTGACAATCTGTACTGGATTGAGTAAGAGAAGCATCAAACTCAAATATGCTCGCATGGAAGCCCCAATTCATTAAGGTTCATCACAATTGATTAATGTCTTCAAGGGGTTAACTTTTCCTAATTGATCGTTTCAAGCTACATGATGCAAGCATTGTTCAAATGTGCTATAATTCAAAAATGGGGATAGACTAGTAGGAAGGACAGGGTAAGATTTAATCCAACGACACACTTTCAGAATGAAGGACATCCTTTCTGCTGATAAAATGACGTTTACTTGGCACATTGCATGAAGATACTTAGATCCAGGTGATTTCTGTATTTGTAAAATTTAAATGAAGCTGTTCTTTAAATCAGAATATCTTTCAGACCTCATAATGGACAGTCAAGTTTTACTGTATGAAACAAACAAGCAGAAGACCATACCTTCGCTTGGTAGGGGTATGACTGATCAGCTTCAATGCCGTATTTCTTAATGTATTTAAAGGCACGATACGGTAAACCTCCATTGCACCCATAATTCTTAAATTCATCGGAACAGTCAATGATATTTTGCACACTCAGATCCACATATTGGTTCCTTTCCTTGGCCAGCTGACCTTCCAGAGCTCCGACGGCAGCAAACGCATAGCACGATAAACATGAACCCTGCAGGGAAAGAAGATAAATTGCCAAATTTGAAAAGATTTAAGAGCTTTTCTTCATGAGCCTCAGCACTTTGATTGAAAGCTAATAGAGAGTCCAAATAGTTAGCTACACCTTTGCCTTGACTATGATCACCAATGGACGCGACTGGGCCTAAAATGGATTTACACAAAATATTCAGTTCCAGATTAACTACTGCCCTTACCACTTCCACTTTTGGATGCCTAAATGGTACAACATAATAAAAACCAAAAGAACTGCGGATGCTGCAAATCAACAACTTTTGTTTTTGGTACAACATAATACTTCAGTCCCTTGCAACCTTATTTCAGGATGGCAGTATAACTTAAGAATCAAAAACCTGGTGAATTAGAGTTTGTAGTGAGAATCAGAAAGCAAGATAACCAAGGGCATCTGGTGAGAGTCGTCGATAAAACATACACAAGCTTAGGAATTATTTATAGTGGCATAAAGTACGCGAGCAGACACGTTTTGCTGAACTTATATAAGGCACCAGTTTGATTTCAACTGGAGTACAGTTTTTGGGCATCACACTTTAGGAAGGGCAGCACAGTGGCACAATGGTTATCACTGCTGCCTCACACCAACAAGGACCAGGGTTTGATTCCAGCCCTGGGTGACTGCCTGTGTGGAGTGTGTGCGCTCTTGCTGTGTCTGCATGTGTTTCGGTTTCCTTCCACAGTCCAAAGATGTGCAGGTTTAGGAAGATTGGCCATGGGAAATTACTATAATTGTGCAGGCTGGGTGGGTTAGCCATGGTAAATGTGGGCATAGTGTAGGGGGGAATGTTCTTCGACAGGTCAGCACAGATTCAATAGACTGAATGGCCTGCAGGGATTCTATGATTGTAAATGCATTGGAGGAAGTGCAGAAGAAGTTTACATGAAGTATGCCTACTGCCTTCTCTGCCCACCACTGACCCTTTCCCCACAGCCCAATCTCCTGGCCCTTCTCCCTTGGTGCCCAGTCCTTCCCCACCCAAGAACCCAGACTCAGCCTGTCCAGCAAGAATGACACTACTTTGTGGGCCTCCTTTCAGTTCCAGCACTATCCAATCTGATTGGCTGGCAGTTCTCAAGGTCAGGATTCCCTCCAAGTGAGGGCTGCCTTAACTAGCACATTGATGATGCAGGCTAGCATCCACCTCATGGCATTGTCCCTATCCCTGGACCTGTACGCCCAGGTTCAAGTCCCACCTCTTCCACAAGTGTGTAATAGCATCTCTGAACAGGTTGATTAGAAAAATAGGTTAAATTATTTAAAATCAAATGGATTCTAACCGATCTTTTTTTCTAATAATATCCTTTCATCCATCTGTAAAAAAATGAGATTACATCTTCGTAAAAGAACATGGTAGCTCTCTATCATTTGTTTTGGAGCAAGTGATTTCATGATTTTTAAGCATTAGAAGTTTACTCATAAAATGGTTTGGTGCATTTTAATTTCCCTTCCAGACCATGGGGCATATTTTTAAGGTGAGAGGAGAAAGATTTGAAAAAGACATGAGGGGCAACTTTATTACACAGAATCATTCATGTGTGGAATGAAATTCCTGAGGAAGTGATGGATGCGTGTGCAGTTACAAAGTTTAAAAGACATTTAGCTAAGTACATGAATAAGAAATGTTTAGAGGGATATGGGCCAAGCACAGGCAGGTGGGACTAGTTTAGTTTAGGATTATGGTCATTATGGACTGGTTGGAACGATACAGTTTCTGTGCTGTATGACTCTATGACTCTATAACTGTATGATTCTAATCTGCCAAGCACTCAAAGCGTTAAATCAGGACCCTGAGTATATATGTGGTTTTGTTAAAGAAGAAAAATCGAACATGAAGATGCATTTCTTCAGAATGGAAATCTTTTTAAACAACTGGTCTGAAGTGATGAGACACACCTCCAAGACCATCCTGACTTGAATCTAAACCTTTTCGCCCAGAGGTAAGGACACTGTCACTGCACTAACAGGTCTCATTAGCACTGTTTTGTGTATCTAATTATTTTTAATCAACCTGTCCACATATGTCATGCCAATGCTGAAGTAGATGGGACTTGAATGTGCACTTACTGGCCCACAGTTGGGGGCACTACCATTCCTCCACAGGACCCTCAAATTATTTGTAAACTACCTGTTCAGACATGTTACAGCAAACTTCCATGGCAGGTGAGGCTTTATCCTGGACTTTTTAGGCTAGCATTTTGGACACTACCACTCTATCGCAAGTCTCCTTTAGCACTTGTCTGTACACCCATGTTGTCTGTCTGAATTGGACACATTAACCCTCCTCTACATCAGGGAGACCAAGCAGACGCTCAGAGACCGCTTTGTGGAGCACCTACGCACGGATCGTGACAAACGACAACACCTCCCAGTTGCAAACCACTTCAACTCCCCCTCCCACTCCCTGGACGACATGTCCATCCTAGGCCTCCTTCAGTTTCACAACGATGCCACCTGGAAACTGGAGGAACAGCACCTCATATTCCGCCTTGAAAGCCTACAACCCAATGTTCTAAATATGGACTTTACTAGCTTCAAAATCTTCCCACCCCCGACCTCATCCCAAGACCAGCCCCCCATCTCATCCCCGCCTCCTTGACCTGTCTGTCTTCTCTCCCACCTATCTGCTCCACTATCCACCTTCTATAACCACCCCTCCCCCTCTATTTATTTCAGAGTCCTCTTCCCCTCCCCCATTTCTGAAGAAGGATCCAGACCCGAAACGTCAGCTTTCCTGCTCCTCTGATGCTGCTTGGCCTGCTGTGTTCATCCAGCTCTACACCTTGTTAGCTCAGACTCCAGCATCGGTAGTTCCTACTAACCCTGTTTACTTCTGTTCTCAGTACCTCCTCCTATTGGCAGTTAGAAAAACAGCAACCATGAATTGTTCCTCCTGATGCCCATTTGCTATAGCTTTAACTTTTCTCAAACATGAGGTGGTTGAAAATGTTAAAAATATTCAAGTGTCCAAAAGTCATTTATGAGCATTCCTTAGAGTTAAAATAATAAAGAAGCATCATTTTGTAATCCCAACAAAATCAAAATCAAGAAACATCCTTCCGGCACAGAGTGAACAGACAGTATGAAAAGGTAGTATGTACCTGGTTCTTTACGTCCCTAACATAGCCCATTTGACGCCAGTCCACTTCTTTGGGAATACGACTGACTTCCTCTACTTCTTCCAGTTCTTCCAGCTCAATATCTGATAGTGCATCATCTGTGTAATTTGCCATTTCATACATTGTTGAATCAGTATACAATTCTACAAACTCCATTGATGTCTGTAAGAGAGAGTTGCATGTTACCTCCAAAGACACTATATCAGCAAAATATGCAAAGTGAAAATCGATTTGTTGTATCGATTTGTTTACAATAAGTTTCAGTTTCATGTGTTTCGATTATGCTTGCAATTTGCATCCATGTTTTCTGATTGGTGATAACAGTGATGGAGACCCTGAGTTCATCTAGATACTAAAAACACAGAAGCCTTGTAAATGGAGACAAGAGACATGAGCAGAAAGAAACAAACTCCTATTGTATGTTGTAGATCAACAGGTCAGAGGAGGAGATCAGATCAAGAAATTTGAAGCATATACAGGAATTTGTACAATTATCATGGATAATTTATTTCAATTTATTATGAATCTTTACAAGTACTTTTGGAATAAAACCATGATTCTGAGCAAACTGGAGAGGATTCAGAAGACATTTACCAGGATGTTGCCAGGCATGGAAGATTTGAGTAATAAAGAAAGGCTGGGGCTTTTTTCACTGGAGTGTAGGAGGTTAAGAGGTGACCTTATAGAATTTTATTAGATAATGAGGGATATAGATAGAGTTAATGGTGGTTGCCTTTTCCCTAGGATGGGGCATTTCAAGACCAGGAGGCACATTTTTAAGGTGAGAGGAGAGAGATTTAAAAAAAGACATGAGGGGCAAATTTTATTACACAGATGGTGGTTCGTGTGAGGAGTGAACAACTGAGGAAGTGGTGGATGCGGATACAATTACTATGTTTAAAAGTACATGAATAGGAAAGGTTTGGAGGGATATGGGCCAGGAGCAGGCAGGTGGGACTAGTTTAGTTTGGGATTATATTTGGCATGGACTGGTTAGTCCAAAAGGTCTGTTTCTGTGCTATATTACTTGATGACTCTATGACAGTTAACTAATAAATCTCTATAATCAGAGGCACTGTTGGATTGGATTTTCAAACATAACCAAGATGAAGGTCATAGTATCACCAATTCTTCATTACGAATGCATTTAACTGAAAGTGAAACAATATTAAAGAGCCAAGTAACTGTGCTGTGAACAAAGTTTGTAAATTGGCAGTTATTAAATTTGGCCAAATGTCATATTTCGGGAATCATTAACCGGAACCTAAAATCAGTTGATAGCTGAAACAAACTTAATCAAACACAGACTGATGTCACAAATATGTTAACCAAGAAATAGTTGGTGCAATTAATCCACACAATGATATTTGTTCATCCAGTTTTAAGTGGCAGTCTTTGCGATTGAGCTGAGTTAACAGTCCTTAAAAATAACAATTGCGCTTCCATCACTTCTGGATCAACCCACACACCCATTGAAAATGATAATACCAAAATAGTTATAGGAAGCAAAACTCATTCACTGACCTGGTGGTGAAGATAATTCCAGAATTCTACTCATCAAATTGCCTTTGTAAGTCAGGAATGCAGGATATGGATTTGACACAATATTTAAGATGTTGCAGTCAAAAGTGTCATTGTCCCGAGAGTGCACCTTGCACTGTATGAAGCTTGCAATGGGGGACAGAAGGAGCAACTTACAAGAATAGTTGCAAGAGGAAGTGACCACCCAAACAAATGGGACAGACTTCCTTGAGCGATTGTCGAGGAACTATCCCTTGAAATTAAACAAATTAATAGGAATACCAACTGGAATTAATGGGACCAGCATGCAGATGCTCGAATGTATGCAGTAGTTGCCATAGTTGCAGAGTACCATGAAGATGGTCTCTCATTAGAGAGCGATTACTGATAGTGATTTTAACCTGAGGGTCACACTATCTCAAGTAAGGGGGGCGAGGTGAGGGAGGCAGGACTTCAGTAGTGACTTCAGACAGTATGGGAATTGAATCTGTGTGATTGGCATCACTCTTCATTGCAAACCAGCCATCCAAGCTAACAGAATTCCATGTAGTAGCAAATTACTGCAGATACTGGAATCTGTACTGAAAATAACAAATGCTGGAGATCACAGTGGGTCAAGCAGCGTCCATGGAAAGAGAGCAAGCTAACATCTCAAGTCTAAATGATTCTTCATCAGAGCTTCACACAGACTTCCATGTATATGTGTGTGTGTGTGTGTGTGTGTGTGTATGTGTGTGTGTGTCAGAGTGTGTGTGTGTGTGTTTGTGGTGTGTGTGGGTGTGTGTGTGTGCGCGCGCATGTTTGTGTATGTGTGCGCATGTGTGTGTGCTTGTGTGTGTGCGTGCTTGTGTATGTGTGTGCGCGTGTGTGGGTGTGTGTGTGCGAGCGTGTTTGTGTATGTGTGTGCACGCATGTGTGTGTGCGCGCGTTTGTGTGTGTGTGTGCACGTGTGTGTTTGTGTGTGCGTGTGTGTATGTGTGTGTGCGTGTGTTTGTGTATGAGTGTGTGTGTGTTGTGTGCAAGTGTTTGCGTGTGTGTGCATTTGTGGGTGTTTGTGTGGGTTTTTTGTGGTGTGTGTGTGTGTGTGTGTGTGTGTGTGGGGTGGGGGTGTCCAAAAAAACTATGAAAAGAATACTGAGTTGTACTGAATCGTGAGGCTCGACCTGTAACAGCTGAAGAATGCTGTGGCAAAAGTGACTGCATTCTGGTATAGTTTAAGGTTATGCTTAGGACTGAATGTCATCTGAATGCAATTGAAACACTTATTCTAAGAAGGACATATTTTGAAGAAATGAGAAGTGGTCTCAGGAAGCCGAACTGGACTGTAATATTCAATGGAAGCAAAACATGGTTCAAATAGCATGCACGGGGAAGATACCTTTCAAAAACAAAACAGGATGAAAGAGAAAATCTAGAAAATGTGGAGATTATGGTATAATGGGAATTGATATAAGATAATGATGTATATCAAGATCTAACAGTGATATGAGTAGTCAAATGTAACAGACTGAAGAGGGAATGGAATAATCTGTGTTAATGAGAGGTGTTGAAGATAACAACTGGTCCAGTGGAGATAACAATAATTCTAGCTGATGTATTCTTGTCCCAGGAAATCAGGCTTGCTTAATTGGGCTCAACTGATTCTTCATCACACACAGTACCAAACCAGCAAGTGTGGCACGGTATCATTTTTATCACTCACCAAGTCTCCAAATTCATTCATGGCCATTTCATACATGGAATTTCCTTGATGATATTGAGCATTGTGAGCTGCAATCTTCTCCAAGTTTTCCAGCCAAATTTCTCTCCTGGCTCGATCTTCCTCCTACAAAAATAATGAGCTACTGCAATATAATGGACATATCAGCAATTGCACAACATGAAATGAAGTTAGTGAAGCTATAAATGGCATGTTTCTTCGAGCTCAGAATTCACAATAAACCAGGTTATAGTGCAACAGATTTATTTGAAATCATAAGCTTTTGGAGCACTGCTCCTTTGTTAGGTGAAGTGCTTCACCTGATGAAGGAGCTGCACACTGAAAGCTTGCGATTTCAAATAAACTTGTTGGACTATAACCTGGTGTCATGTGATTTCTGACTTTGCCCGTCCCAGTCCAACACCAGCATCTCCACATCATGTTTCTTCAAATGAGTAAAGGCAGCTAAATGTTCAAATAGGACGTGACAATATTTGATGTCAGCCACAGTAGGAAAAACTGGCATCAAACTATCAGGATCAAAGAAGAGGAAACCAAATAAGTTTTAAGCCATGATTTTGGAAAAAAGGATTACGACACACAGGGCAGTAAGACAACAGCCCTGGCTCATTTTAATATGGGATTCAAACTATGAGCAAAGAAGTTACAGGAGTTAGTGGGAGCATGGTGGGTCAGTGGTTAGCACTGCTGCCTCGTAGTTCCAGGAACCTGGGTTTAATCCCAACCTCAGGCAACTGTCTACGTCAAGTTTACATGTTCTCCCTGTGTCTGCATGGGGTTCCTCCGACAGCCCAAAGATGTGTAGCTTAGGTGGATTGGCCATGCTAAATTGCCATAGTGTCCAGGGGTATACAGGCTAGGTGGGTTAGCCATGAGGAAATGCAGGGTTATAGGGTGGGATGCTCTTCAGAGGGTGTTGGACTCAAATGGCCTGTTTCGACACTGTAGGGATTCTTTGAGTTAGATAAACAGGCAACATAAACGCACTGTAGTGGTGTGAGAGCTTACCACACACACAATAGCCAATAGAGCTCCCTTGAACTTTAAGCTACAGAAATAAAAGCAAGGATGTTCCCAGGATCCCCATTCCTGCCCTCCTCTGCTGCATTGTTGCAGATTACAGTCCCATTTTCCTTACACTGCCTGGTAAAGTCTAAATGTAGATTTTTGAGAAGTGCAAAGGCAGCCGAATTTGTTATACCATAATTATTGCTTCTCCACCAATACAACAACCAATGACTTGTATTCATGTAATTGCTTTAACATTATATATTATTCCAAGGTGCAACACAGGAGTGTTGTAAAGCAATCTTTGAAAGTAAGAAACATTTAGTGATATTGGGGCACAAGCCAGGTCAAAGGGACAAGTTATAAGGGGCATCTTTAAAGGAGAAAAGAGAGGTAGAATGACGAAAGTTTAGGGGGGGAGTTCTAAAGCTCAGAAATGGCCATTAACAGTGGTTCAATTGAAACTGGGAATGTGCAACAGTCCAGAACTGGATAAGTGCAGATTTCTCAGGGCAATGTGGAGTTGATGGGGACTACAGAGACAGGGAAAGACCATGCATGAATTGATTTGAAAATAAGGGTGAAAATTTTAAAATCGAAGCATTGCCAAAATAGTTCAGTGAGCGTAGAGGCAGAGGGTGACCGGAACCTAGTACAAGTTAGGACACAAGCAGCAGTATTTTTGATAACCTGCAGTTTATAGACAATACAATGCAATAGGCTGGCAAGAAAGCATACAGTGAAGCCCTGAGGTAACACAGTTATGACGGAGGATTTCAGCAGCAGATGCAGTGAGGGCAAGGAAGAGTCAAGTGATTTAAAGGAGGTGGAAATAGGCAGTTTTAGGACTGAAATCATGGGAAGATACATGGTCAGAAGTGGATCTAGAGATTAAATATTTCTCCAGAGATATAAGCTGTCCACTTGCCTCACACAACTAGAATGCAGTTGGTAACTAGAGAACAGGCCTTTCAATATGGAACTAATGATAATGGTTTTGCTCTTTCCAATATTATCTTGGAGGAAACGAGAGAAACACATCATTATTTGTGTTTAATAAATTTGGAAGAAGTGTCCAATAGTTGCCAAGTTATTGGCTGGTATTAAATATCTGAGTCACCACAGAAGGACACTTTGTGGAAACTCTGTTCTTTGGTTCTGACTGAGCAACATTAACAAACAGGTGGGGATTACAGTTCAATCTGCCCTCTTCAAAACAATGTCATGGCCCCTCAATCCTCTCCTAGGGTGTCAGCCCAGATTTCTTACCACATTAAGGTAGCTTTTTCCATATGCCTGCTTCCAAATTTTCCATTGCTCATCTACGATCGAGTTCGGCAAGGCCATGGACATAACAGTCAGGATCCACGTCACAAAGAGGGAAAGTATCATGGTGAACTGCTGAATACGTCAAGCCTGTCACTGGACCAATGTCTTCAGTGAGAAGCTGTGGGCAATACAATAGGAAAGACATGGAGAGGTAATGCAAGTCCATAATCCTACAGTACCACCCTCATTATTAAGATGACCGGCACAAGCACAGGGTGAATGGACACCTCACCTTCTACATTTTCTAAAAGGAGTCACAGAAGTGAAAAGTAGAAGAGCTGAGAGCAGACCAACTACCTTGTGCCTGCAAAGGGATAATAACACAGCGGGAGAAAGGTGTTTGATTTAGTCTTAAATTGTTTCAATCACAAATGTAAAAAGAAAATTTGCCAAATATTCTTCATTGAGATGAGGAGGGCTATTATACACCTGATAGTGTTCAATTCCTACATTCCGAACCACTTTAATTACCCTGGAAACACAGTTGGCAGACGTTGTAAACTTCCCTGGCTAGTGTGGGGTGTGAAGATAGACATGAGGTGAAAGAGAGCCGTCTTTAGCTTCAGATTTGACTAATTAAAATCTGTAATATATTGATCCCAGAAATCTCTGATTCTCGCTGAATGGGTTCTGGTAAGATGCTCATTTTAGAAAATACTGTGACTTTCCTCTGTCTGCTCTGTCTCTGGAAGTGTTAACCCATTTGCAATACATTAGGTGCCAATATTTAAAAGTTTTCAATCTAATTTCCTTTCCTACATAGAACGTAATTACAATAAAGTTATTCTGCCAAGACATTCTGCCAATGCTACACTATTAAATCACACAATGTTGATTCAATATATTAATTACACATTAACATCAGGCCATTTATCATACTAGAAGAAATATATTTCACTCACCTTACAAGGTCACCTCTGTTTCTTGAACGATACAAACTACTTGGGACCAAGTTATGCTGTACCGGAGTTTGAATTGGGGTTTATATATCCTTAGAAGATGCAAAGTGAACTAATTGCCTCATAAATTCCACCAGTTAGTTCACAGGCCCTGAAGACCCAGTATTATCTTTGTTCCTTTTGATCTAAAATATTTGTCCATCTGTTAGTTCCAACCATCAGTTACACAAACCCCAGGCAAATACTCCACATGATCTTAATAATATAGTCTGAAAGGTAATGAGATGTTGTGAATCTTATTTGTATGAGGCAGATTGTTGATTTCTTTGCAGTAAATAAGATTTTCTTTTGGGGTTCCTTGGCAATGCATTTTTGTCATGGTGTCTTCTTACCCCAGGAGTGCAACTGTGGCAATTATCCAATTTCCATTGCCTTCAGCAGGTTAGATTTTTCAGCTAATAATTGTGTACGCATGATGTGATCACTGGCAGCCCATAATGAAATAGGCACCAGAAGCATCTTTACACCAGGACTGCATCATCAGCTCATTGTTTGTGGACCAGCACCAGGGCTGCCAAGATCACTGTTTTTCTAGTGCTAAGCATCTTCTTTCACAACATTGTTCTTGTTTTGCTGGATAAAATCTTCGCCAACCCTATGCCTGACGAAGCGTCACCAGACTCGAAACATTAACTTTGCTTTCTTCCCACAGGTGCTGCCAGACCTGTTGAGTTTCTCCAGCAGTTTCTGTTTTTGCTTCTATTCTCCAGTGTTCATGGTTCTTTGTTTGATTCCTATGTCGCAAGAACTGAGGAAATTCTCAGCTCAGAGGTCTGTAAATTTCAGAGACTCTCTAACCCTGGAAGTTTCTGTGTTTTTGCATCTGTAGACACAAGCAACCAGGAAATAATAAAATCCTGCAATGTTGGTTTGTCTATCTGATTAAAAGTCAAACCGAGACCCCATTTGTCTTTACAAAGTGAATAGAAAAGATTCCATGGCTCAATTTTGAACAACACCTGACCACAAATTGGAATAAGTCCAGGGAACTCATGTAAAATGCACTAAACTGACTGCATTGAATTCACAATTTCATTCAAAGACTTTAAAACCAGATATACAGTCATAAACTCATAGAGTCACACAGCATGGAAACAGACCCTTCGTCCCAACTAGTCCATGTCGACCATGTTCCCAAACTAAACTAGTCCCACCTGCCTGTGGTTGGTCCATATCCCTCCAAATCTTTCCTATTCATGAATTTATCCAAATATATTTTAAACATTGTAACTGTACCTGCTGTCAGCATCATGAAATTTGCATTTGTTTACTTCACACCTGTATGATGCATTCACATAATGAGAGATAAAAGTTGCCAATGGCGTATTCAGCTTGGAAAGAGTGTGGAATTAGGTTTGGGAATATATGAAAGGATCATATTTCAACAGTTTGCTCAGCAGACCATGGAAAGGTTTATGGATTCATAGGAAGAAAACCTTGAAGGCTTGCTCTCTGTCTCTATTTCTCTCAACCCTGGTAGTCAGTACCAACTGTAAAAGCAACTTGGAAAAACAATTATTGATAAAGAATTCCAAAATTCCACTTTAGCTGAAGAAACAGATCACAGCTAAATAGATTCTTAGAGTCAAGCAGAATGGAAACAGTCCCTTCGGTCCAACTCATCCATGCTGACCAAGTTTCCTAAACTAAACTAAACTAGTCCCATTTGCCTGCACCTGGATCATATCCCTCTAAACTTTACTATCCACGTACCTGTCCAAATGTCTTTTAAATGTTGTAACCATACCTGCCTCTACCAGTTCCTCTGGCAGTTCCTTCCATATACCAATCACCCTCTGTGTGAAAAAGTTACCCCTCAGATCCCTTTTAAGTCTTTCCCTCTCACCTTAAAATTATGCCCTCTAGTTTTGAACTCCCCTACTCTAGGGAAAAGGCCTTTTCTATTCACCTTATCTATGCCCTCAGGATTTTATAAGCCTCTATAAGGTCACCCCTTAACCTCCTACATTTCAGGAAAGAAATTTCCAGTATACCCAGCTAAGTTTTGGTAGAAATGTAATAGCTGCATGTTAAAACAAAATCATTGAAACTGACAGAGGGAAGTTGAAAAGAGCAGAACTGATTGCTCCTCCTCACCTGTTCGTAATACCAATTATTGCAAATACCCACTTTCTGGTGCCTATTGAAGACAATGTTTGTCTGGAATCTCCTGGATTCTGCTGATAACTACAGCATGAGGGCAAAATCACACTATTTGTTAAGGAATTTTATACTTAACTGTAAAAACTCCATTTCTTGTGTGTTTGGGGACTGAAATGAGCATGAGTTTTATTTTAAACAAATGTTTGAAAAGGTACTTTTCTGGTTTGAAAGCAAGTAACAAATACTCATCATGCCAAGCATCATGCAAACAACCACTTGAACAAGCAATAATTGAAGTTTGAGTTGCAAATGATTTAAAGCCAAGTGGGTACACAGATGTAGCCTCTGCTGGCAACAAGAAGTTCATTGGTCTATGGACCAGTGACCAGTTATCAATGACAGTGACATTTTTTGCCTGCCAACAATTATATGATTGATTCTTAGATTACTGACAGTTTGGAGCTGATAAGTTACGGAGAGAGGGAAAAGTTTTCGGTCCTTGACCAGGTCAGGAGTAGTGTCTCTGTTCTCTGCAGTCAAAACTCACTGTGAACATGAAGAAAATCAATTTCCTTCATTGGATGTGGCCATTGCTGGCTGGGCCAGCATTTATTGCCCAGAGGATCTGGAGACACATGTCAGCCTGACCAGGTATGGATGGCAGATTTCCTTCCCTAAAGGACATGAGTGAACCTGATGGGTTTTTCCAACAATCGACAATGAGTTCATGGCCATCATTTGTACTTTAATTTGTATTTAATAGGCCAACAGCTTTTAATTGTTTGTCTGTAGTGACAGTCTAATTACTTGTAATAAATAATAATTATTCTCAGTATAGAAACCTGGTCCATCTGAAAGTCAGGTAAATTGAGGGATTTTGCATACATTTTAAAATCTTTAACTTCCGTGACAATTCCTGGAATAGCATCACTTAATTTCTAGTGCATTACTCCCATGAGTCATGACATAACTGATTTAAAAAATATGGTGCTCAAAGTTGGACTCAGTCGCGATAACCATGGCACTATCATTGATTGCTGCAAAAACTTAACTGGCTCATTAATGCCTAGTAAGGAAGGAAATTGTCCATCATTTTCTGGTCTGGCCTTTACGTGACTCCAGACACACAGCAATGTGGTTAATTCTTGGAATGGTCTCTGGAATGGTCTAGCAAGCCATTCAGGGCAATCAGGATGGGTGACAAATACCTGTGGTAACCATATCCCATGAAAAAGGCTTTTAAAAATGAGAAGTAATCACCCCCAGGTTAACCTTCATTGAATGAGTTTGAGTTCTTGGATCCAGTTGCAATTTGTTTTGACGTTTCATTTTATATTTTGTAAAGTCAAAATCCATCACCTTATCATACTAAAAGAGAAACTGTAAGATATGTAAACCTGTAGAAAACAAAAACAATGATTAGTACCTTGTATATCATTTGGTGCATTTAGCAACATTCAATAATTACAGTGAAATCAGAGTTTTCTAATAAATACATACAGAATATTGGTGTGAGAGCTACGTCAGTGCATCCAATGATGGAATGTCAAACATAGCACAGGACTACAAAATTTATATAATGCAGATGGAGGCCATTCAGCACACCATTTCTGTTCCAACTCTCCAAATGACCAGTTTGCATTCATTTTACAAAAACAGAAGTTGCTGGAAAAGCTTGGCAGGTCTGGCAGCATCAAAATCAGAGTTAACGTTTTGGTTCTGAGGAATGGACACTTGACCTGAAACGTTAACTCTGATTTTTTCTTCACAGATGCTGCCAGACCTCCTGAGCTTTTCCAGCAACTTCTGTTTTAGTTCTTGATTTACAGCATCCGCAGTTCTTTTGGTTTTTATTTTGCATTCATTTTGCAACCTCCTTCCTGTAACCCTACACGGTCTTCCTTTTTTAAGTAATGGCCCAATTTCATTTTGAACGGTTCACTTGAATCTGTTTCTATTATTCTCTCCAGCAGTGCATTCCAAACCTTCATCACTCACTGA